GTTTCCCAGAGCTTGGAGCAAGGAACAGGCCGGTGCCAGTCACAAGCCTATGCATGGGGCAGGGAGCAGGAGCAGGGCGGAGGGATGAGACCCGGAGGACGACGCTGGGAGTCTGTGACCACGACATCGATGCCCGGGGGTGCAGCGACATGGCTGACGTCTGTTCCCGGAGGGCCACGCTCTCTCTTGCAAGCCGGCGCGTGCTGTGAGGATTGGGCAGGTTCTGGCCCGGGCCGGGAGGATGCACTGCTCACGGCTCTCTTGGCAGGATGGAGACGTCAGTGGCCCGTCTCCGTGTTGCAGGTCATCCTAGGAGTAAAGCACGGGGGTCGGGGCTCCCCGGCACATCAAAGCCCTGCTCCGGCTGGCGGGAATGCAAAGCCGCGGCACCGGCTTCTTCATCCGGACTCAGGGCTTCGGCACGGAGCTGTTCAAAGGCACCGCCGGGGCCCCCAGCTGCCCCCTTAATGCTGGCTCCGAGCCGGCCTGTGCGGCCGCCCCGCATTAAGTCATGTTGCAATTACAGCGATCTAATTGAGTCTATTCACCGGTCGAGGCTTTGGAGTCTTTCTCTCTCGTGCTCCCTGCTGGTGAGAGCCGGGGTCCCTGCTGGCTGCCGGGGCAGGGATACGGGACGTGCCGGAGCCCTGCGCCGGGAAGGGGCCCCGCACATCGACTGTGTCCTTCGAGAGGCCTTAGCTGCGGGCTGGATAAAGCTACCCCAAGCTGGAGCCTTGGCCTAGGGGCAGCCGCATCCCCCGGGCTGAGTGCTGCTTGGAGGTGTCCTCGTGCCTGGAGCTCGCTAACCCCGGTGCCACTGATGGAGCAGCTAAATGGACGTCTGTCCGCAGGGGCTGCCCAGTGCCAGCCTTCCTCCCGAGCCCCCAGGCTAGGTTAGCTTTGGGGGTGAAGGCTGCAGCCTCCGGGATGCTATCCAGACAGCCGGGGCCCCACTGTCACCTTGCTCCTCGTGGCCCGTGCCCTGAGCTGCGGGTACACGCCAGGCTGTGCCGCCCCAGAACACGGTGCCCTGGAAGTGGGGGGGCAGAGCTGGGCAGGAAAGGAGATGTTTTTCCCATGGAAGATGTCGACATTTTGCTGGAAGCCCCCCCCAACCCTAATTGTGTCAGCTGAATGCTAGCAAGCGCGTGGTTCGGTGAGGTCCTTTCCAGCCAGACTTCCCTGCCGCCCGCCGAGCACAGCCCCAGGGCTCTGGTGCCTGGAGCTGAGCTAGGTCGAAGGCAGGGGCAGGCCGGGCGGGCAGATGAGCCAGCGCTGCCCGTGCGAGCAGGACGTGCATCCCGTTGTCATCCTCCTCTTCGCCCCTTGGCCAGACACGGCTGCAAGGAGCGTGAGCTGCTCCCTGGCCCCGGGAAGAGCATGCCCTTCTCAGGAATGGATCCCTTTTTCGGCACATCCCCACTCCTCCCCTTCCTCCTTCTCTCCCCTGCTTCCTCGCTGCCTCCCTGAATTACTACGGTGGTGGCTGGGAATCTCTTATCTCCCCTGCCCGGGGACAGGGCTGTTCCAGAAATGGGTTTTATGGGAGCCGGCGCCTTGGTTTCCAAACTACATTGTGCAAAACAGCAATGAAAATCAAAGGCATTTGAGACACCGGCGTGACTCGGCCGTGCAGGCCAAAGCAAAAAACGCCGGCTCAGCTGGAGCAGATTGCAAAGAGCTCTCTTCCAAGAGCCCTGAGAAAGACGACCCCCGGACACCCGATTCTCACCCCGGCTTTGTTGATCTGGAGCTGGGACGAGCGCTAGGCTGGGGCCGAGATGAAAGATCAGAGCAGCCATCATTCCCTGCTGAGGGGCCGAAGCTCCCGCTGGCTTTCTCATTGCTCACAGGCTTTATAAAGAAGTTTAATTCAGAAACGCGGGGGGAAAGCATGAGGTGCATTGGAAAGCCAGCCCAGCACGCAGGAGCAGGACTGGAGGAAGAGAAGGGGCTCTCCAGCTCTAGAGAGGAGGGAGGCGATGACGGACAAAGGTTTGCATCTAACCCCCCCACGCTGCTCACTGTTTCTCAAGAAACGCCGGAGCGGGTCCTAGTAAAAGACACTCACGTGATCGAACCTGAGCCCTTTTGTTGGAAGAATACAGCCCGTGGGGCTTGAACCTGTCTCGCTCGCATGCACGGCGGTGGCCCCCGAGCCCCGTCAGCGGTCATGTCCCGGTGTGAGGAGCTGTGCACGCACATCCCAGACCGTTGCCAACTCCCAGAGCTCCCAGCTGGCAGAAAACCTCCATGCACAAGAGCTAGTATCAGGCCTTGGAGCCTGAGCTGGCCTTCTGCTACCCGAGGGGGACAAGGGGCACCCATGTTCCTTCAGCAGAAACCCTCCTCCTCCTCCTCCTCCTCCTCTTCAGGTCAAAAATACCTGCCCTCCGGCTCTGCGCAGTGAAGGCTGAGCTTTGCACACACGTGGTAACTGGCCCAGAGCCTGACGACGGGGAGGAATTAAATCTCATTTAAACCCACGATGGTTGTAAATAAACTATAATCACTTCAAACCTTTCGCCTAATCAGAAAAGGATGCTGGACACAAAGTGAGCCCTCAGCAGGCTTGTGCGACGGCCGGGTTACAGACTGGGGATGCTAGTGAGATTTGCTTTTTTAATCTGTCCCGCAGCTGCATTGTTCAAACAAACACATTTGCAGACCTGAAAAGAGAAAACCCCCCAACCAAGACAGAAGAAGGGCTCGGACCCCTCCCCGGGGGCCCTGGCTGCTCTCGGCACCGCTGGAGCTGCACCTCGTCCCCACTCTGAGCGCAGGGAAAGGATGCAGGAGGCAATTAACCTCTGCAATTGGTGTCACGTGCTTGACTGCAGCCCAGACCAGTCCCCGGGTTGGGCTGGGCTGCCCCGAGTCTGCCGGAGGATGCCTTGCTCCAGGATGTGCCAGCTGCTGGGCCTTGCAGGGCGGGAGGCTGACGGGTGGCGCAGCACTCTTGTGTTTCCTGACGGAGAGAGACCTGGAGCAGCAAGCCTCCGACACTTGCAATACACGGCGCTTTCCCAAAGCCTCAGCTTCTGGAGTCAAGGGGTCACACGGGAACCTCAGCCCTCATTCAGAGTAGAGTAGCATGGGGTTGTGGGCCTGTCAGGGGCCTTCCACACCACCGAGGCCCTGTCCCCTGCATTCACGGGCAGTCGCTAACTGAAGGAGTCTCCCAGTCACCACTTGAAGCCCTCAGCCCCCTCCACGAGGATCCCCACAACACCCTCTCACATGCCACAGGGAAAAGCAAGGCAGACAAGGGCACCGCCAATGCCCTGCTGCTGTAATGCCAGTGAAGGAGTGGGTGAATTTATGCCCAGAAGATCCTCAGAAGAGGACGATGCCCTCATAAGTTTCTGGCTCTAGCATCCCCGGCACGGCGCTCAGACCGGGCTGCAAGCAGAGCCCTTCACTCGTCCCTCCTCGGCCAGGGGACACCAGCAAGACGGTACCCAGGGCAGTGTCAGCTCCTGGAGGGTCCCAGACCTGCCCAGGGATGCTCTCCTGCCAGCATCTTGCAGCGGGGTCTGGGATTGTCCTGACAAGCAAACACAGCTGAGCCCTTCTCAGCAGGTCACGTCTAGCCTAGCCCCTGCCTGAGGCAGGGTCGTCCTCGACTAAACCAGCCCAGAGAAGTGTCCGAGTCTTCCCCGCTCTTCAAACCCCCCAAGGATGGAGAGTCTGTTTCCGGATGGTTTGGACCCTGTTGTGTTTATACATCAGCGTCAGCTTAACGGGAACGCTGTTGCCCTCCCAGAGCCTCCCCCAGCTTTGCTCCTCGCGGGGTTTTCGGCCGCGGGCCGGGCCGGCCTTCAGACAATGCGCCGAGCAATGTGACTAGCATCTGCCGCACGTGGGCGCAGCTCCTTGTTATTCTGCGTTTTTTTTACAGCTTCTTCCCTCTATGCTGCAGCCCCAAACCACTTCACAGAGCCTCGTAATTAAATCAGGGAAATAAACTGGAGCAGAAGGCGGCTGGGGGTGGGGGACGGGGGGCAGGAAAGAAACTCCCTTGAAGCAATTCAAGGAGAGGGCATCCCAGCCTGCAAGCAGAGGTGCAGGCTCCACCTTGGGTTTCCAGACCCGCTCCGCAGTCTACGCGGGTCTGGCTAAGGTTGCTGCTCCCCCCCAGGACCAGGAGCGGTCCTGGCCACCCGTGGCTCACAGCTTTGGGATCTGAAGTCCCGTCCTGTTGAGCGGGACTGGCAAACTGGGGCGACGCAGGAGGCAGGGTGGTGCCCGGGGTGGGAAGCAGTCAAGACCCCCATGGGAAGCCTGGGCTCCTACCCCTGGGGTCAGACCCTTCACCCCCCTGCCCTTCAGTGCGTCAGACAGAGGGAGAGCCAGCCCTGAGGAGATGCCTCGATGCCTCTTTGCAGCCTGCTGGGACGAGCCGGTTGCATCAGGTTTCTTTTCCTTGGGCAGTCGTCTCCTTTCGTGGACAGCCGGGGCAAAGGGCTCACGGGTGGATGGGGGCAGACACTAAATGAGAGGGCTCCTGCCTGGCCGGGGGGGAAAGGAGGAAGCAGGACACTCAGGAGGAGGCAGACTAGAGTTACAAGACAAAACACTATGTGACCGCAGACCCCCAGTCCATGCAAACAGGGTCACCCCAATAACCCTGGGGGTGCTGACGTACCCTACCGAGGGTCTAATCCTACGCACATAACAAATGCTTTCAAGTAAAGCAGGCTGTGCTATTGCTGCTGGTTTGTGTCTCCCTGGTGCTTTCCTGTTCGGCTGCGTACACCAGAACTCGTGTGCACTTTGTCTCCAGCACGGAGGAATCTGTTAGCAATGCCACGGAGAACAGCAGTCTTCCTGGATTCAATCAGCCAGCTGAGTTTATTTATTTAGAGAACAGGCTGTGACACAATAACCACCTTTTTTTCCCACCTAGTGAAAACCGGCAAGTTCGTTCTGCTCTGAGTGAAGCGATTAGGATCTGGCCCGGTTTCCAACATCCCCGTGAGTCCACAAAGCACGCGCGGTATCTTTTGCAAAGGAAAAGGGTTTATCTCTGGACTGTCACTTCAAAGTTAGGCTTGAGATATTAGACTCTTCTGCTTTTGGTCCTCATATGGTCTCTGGTTTGTGTCGAATGTGAACGGAGTGCATCTCCTTCCCATTTCCGTGGCTGTATGGTTTGAATTTTAAAATAAATATCTGAAAGGTTCAAGGAAGTGTGAAGTGATTTTTATTTAGTGGATAAATAAGGGGGCCTTGGGAATCTACTGATGTGCTGTGCTCAGAGCGAGTGTGTTGTCCATACCGCCTGTCCGATACCAGTAACTAATTATAAAGAAAAAATAGAAGAGCGCAGCATTATTAGTGCTGGGAGCGCTTCGCCAAGTCTCCAAGCCGCACAATGGAATAAGTGGGAAGTCCAGGTGAAGCAAATCCCCTGGCTACACACACGTTAGCGATTTGGGTGCAGGACCGTCACTCCGGGTCTCTGACATCATGGGGTGAGGTATTTATGGCCATGGAAGCAGGCTGGGGTTGGGAAGAGAGGAGGGATGGCCCATTCTGGCTGATTCGGAGTGGTTATTAGTGTAATTTATGGGGTGATGAGACCATGAGCAGCTCAGCCCTGCCAAACTGAAGGCACTTTTCATCTAACAGAATGAATAGGATTTTAACAGGGCTCAATCTCCAGCGCAGGCATCTGCACATGCCAGACAGCTTTATAGAGCCAGGAAGTAAATGCTAAAGCTTGCCATTTCCTTCTCTTCCCTGGTAGTTCATGTCACCCAGAGGCTCCTTCCTTGCCCGCAAGCTCATGGCAATGAACACGAGCTAGCTAGCCCTCCGGGCGCGAGCGGCTCCCACGGCAGCTAATCGGCCGCAATCAGTGCCCTGTTCCAAGGAGACACTTAACAGCGGGCTGCGATGCTCTAGTTTCACCTGGCAGCTGCGGAGGCTGCAGGGGAGCACAGTCAGGGCACTGACGTCCGTGGGCCTCTTGCCACTGATATCAGAGGGCTTTTGGTTATGCTGCAGCAGGGTAAGCGTTCCCGTGGGACGCTGATCCAGCTGCTGAGCCCTGGTCTTGCTGAGCTAACAGCCCTCAGCCTGCCCTGCTGCATTGCAGCCCCACACCCTTTCCAGGCTCCCTTATGCCCCAGCCTTGCCTTGCAGACTCATGCATATATAGCCTGGCCCTCAGCACCCGCTGGGCAGCACCTGCTCAGCCCCTAGCAGAGGCACCTTGCTGCCTGGGAAAGGTCTTTAACCCCATCCCTGCCAAAACCTGTGCCTCCTCTCCTGACCTCCTCTCCCAGCCGTAGCACCCTCACTCTTGAGAAATGCTGGCAGGGAGAGAGTGGCACCAAGGGGCACGTGCCTGGGGTTTGGTAAGCGGGTGAGACATAGGGGTGGTCTTCCCAGCCCCTCCTGAGGTCCCTGGGATGGACAAGCGAGACCCTAATCACCACCCTGTACAAAGCCCGAGAAAATGGCATAACTTGTCAAGAAACCCTGGGAGGTTCCCTGCCTGTGAGTGGGGCGCGCCCGGGTCTGTGGGAATAAACCCATCTCTGCAGCTGTGGGACTGGGGTGGGAGCACGCCGCTGGCAAGACGGGAGCCAGGCCTAGGAACAGATGTGAGCAGGGCTCAGCTCACACAGGCCTGCCCAGCGCTCCAGGCTCCTCTGTCTCCATCTCTTTGCCCTCCAGCCATCTCTGCCTTCACGGCTTCCCCTCCCTTCATTGCTGCCCCCCGTTTCTCAGCCCCCCAGACATCCACACAGCCCTGCGCTTGCTCCAGCTGCGCTTCCCCTCTGCAATTTGGTTTTCATTT